AACCACTTTCCAGACCCTTGGAACCCAGAAGACATGGCATAGGAGGAGGTGGTTTTCTACCTTAGCTGCCCCTGCATAACCCCAAATCAACATAAGTCAGGGGTGGAGAGAACCATACCTGTTACCATGAGGCTGTCCTCCCATACTACCCACTTGGGGCAGCAAAATGACTGGAGACAGCTTTGCCTTATAGCCAAGCAGAAGGAAATAAACATGGCTTGCCTCCCTCTATTTTCCCCTTCCCTCTGCTGCCCCACCAGCCACAGTCAGGACACTCACATGGAGCTTCCTTCTAGAGCTCATTGTATTTCTTCCCACAACGGGCCTTACTCCTAGTATTGTAATAGTGAGCAAGTGGAAAGGTTGCTCTTTTCATTAGGACCACAACCAACCAATCACTGATGACTTACAGTACAATCCTAAGAACACTTTCCTAAGAGTAAGTCCCATTGAATAATTTTGAGTAGACCCGCTTAGGATTGCTCTCATCAGTTTCAGCTAGAGAGAGTAGGGGAAGATGGGTATTTGTCTAAATATCTCCTTTGTTCTTGTAAAGAGAGCAGTCATTGACAATTGAAAGCCTTTACAGATGACAGGTCTCCTTGAGACAACAGCCCTCGTACACTTTTTCAGAATTCACGAAGAGCTTTCTTGAGTTAGCTTTGCAGAGTAAAACTTACCCATTGCTAGATGACAGCTCTGGTGAGCTAGAATGTGGGCCTGGCCATATCTTTAAAGCATCAGATAAATTAATGATTCTCTAGACAGCCTATCTTTTGAATATAAAAAGTATCACAGTTGGAGGACAAGCTAGGGAATGATTGGCAGGGGGGAACTTAGTGAGCTTGTCAAATTCTATAATAGTAATAAGGATGATTAAAATATAGCTCTTGCATGACGTACTGATTGAAGTTTTACATACCCATCATAGCTTATTTTTACCTTCGTTAGACTTGTGGTCATGACCTGAATAATTCAGTTAATGAAGCCAAACAAGAAGCCACCTCTAGCAATTTCTATTCTGCCCTCCCCGCATGGCAGGCTCAGGGCAGCTCACAACAGGCTAAAATACAATAGATTAAATAGAATATGGCAAATAATTCACTTTTTATAGCTTTCTAGTTTTTATATCCTTCCAGTTACTAGCTCAAAAAAACCCTGGAAATATTTGTTTACTATTTTGAGCTCATAGATCCTTACTGGCTTTGATCTACTGGATGCATCATGCTCTCTTGGTATTCCGTACTTCCATATGTCCTTCTGCATTTATAGATTGGTTGCTTGAGTAATGCAAGGAAACACCACAGGAACTCAATGAAGGAGATCAGATAGACATTTCAGACAGTTCCTTCCACTGTAATCTTTTTTTTAACATTTTAATTGCTTTTTATCTCTACACACTACAAGGTATAGGGAAAAGGAATAAACTAAACTAAAATACAGAATAAGCAGGGATCCAAAAAAAATCTAAAATTCGGTTATCTAGTGTTTCCTCATTATTTAGCTTTTACATAATTGGAGATTAAAAGTTAGTAATCAGTACAAACAAAGTTAACTGTAGTGTGTGCATCTTAGTAAATAAAAAAGAGAAAAAACAGACTTTCAGAATTGGGTTATTTAGCTGATTTTCTCCTTCCACATTTGTTCTTATCAAAGGGCAGCTTAACCTTAAATGATTTAGGAGACGCAGCTCCTAATTCTGATTCAGAGTCAAAATCTTCCTCAAAGGAGCTACTTGGAGAGCTATCACTGCTTCTGGAACCGTGTTCTTCTGTGACGATATTGTCCTCTACTTTTCCTTTTGCTGGGCTTTGATGCTGTTCCAAAAACGCTTTTGCTTTGAGAACAGAGTCAATCTTTTCTCTTTTCATTTTGAAGTTGAAGATAAGTCCCTTCCACTGTAGTCTTAAGGTACTTGAATGCTGAGACAGCCTGCAACTTCTAAACATTAAGTTAAAAATATTGAATATTTCACAGTCTGATTGCAATTTATGAACACCTAGATTTTAAGCAGAGTTCCCTCTAAACTGTGCTAGGGGGTGTTGATGCACAAAATTTTAGCTCCAGCACAAGGAGTTTAAGCTTCTGCTCATACTAAGGCATTTTTACTCCATTGGAAACAATGGAGGATGGGGCGCCTCATTCTGGGACCCATAAAATTGGGCCCCCGGTCCAATCTTTTTGAAACTTGAGGGGGCATTTTCAGGGGAGGCACCAGCAACTATGCTGCAAACCTGATGCCTCTACCTCAAAAAACAGCCCCCCAGAGCCCCAGATACCCTCAGATTGATTCTCCATTATAGCCTGTGGGCCCATTGACTGTAATGGTCCCCATAGGCTATAATGGAGCTGGGGGAAATATATATATATATATATCTTGTTATGCTTTTCAGCATGATTTGTGAGCTGCCTTGAGTCACAGGAAAAGTGGGGTATAAATATTTGAATAGATAAGTAGTTTGGGCAGGTTGATAACATTTAAGTAACTTCCTGTTTGTTAGGTCAGGCAGGGTTCTGCAGTGATTGTTCCACCTCTGTTATACTTGACCTGTAATTTGTCATATTTCACTAAAAACTCCTCAAAGTACACTGCAAGAGTTTTCCCCCCAATAAATGCTGGTATGTTTTCTAAGGCTCAGCGCAGGGTGCCAGTCCGAGGCTAGGCCTACCAATATAGTGGAGTGGAGCAGATACACCTGTTCTCTGGAGGCCAGAGCTACTAATATAGTGGAAAGAGGAGGGTAGACCTGTTCTCTGGGGGTCTGGTCTACCCCCATTGAGGACAACGTTTTCTATAATGAAATTGTCTTGGTTCTGTTTTCTCTTATAATGTTTAAATTATTCTTAAAATATAGTTTAAATATAGTTTAAAATAATTCATTCTGAGATTTTTACAAGGTTATGGAAATAATCTAAAAAACTAATTTATGTGATAGTCAAATGTAGACTCACTCACAACTTTAATGCTACTAGCTTTTTCGCTCATGAGGTTTCGCTCATGAGGTTTTTGCTGACAACACTGTGCAGCTTAGAGGGAACATTGGAGCAGAGTGTCATCTATATATTTGCTACTCCAAATCTTGTGATAAATTTTACCAGTGGCTTCATGTAGATGTTAAACAGCATGGGGGACAAGATGATGCCATGTGGGATCCCATAGCATAAATGTCATGGAGTTGAGCAGTAGCTCCCAAGCACCACTTTTTGGAATTGGCCAGTCAAGTAAGAGCAGAACCAGAGAAGCACAGTATCCCCCACTCCCCATTCAACTGACCTCTCCAAAATAGTACCATGGTTGACAGTATCAAACACCATAGAGGTGCAGGAAAATCAACAGGGCTGCACTCCCCCATCATTCTCCCAGCAAAGATCATCCATCTGGGCAACCAAGGCCAAGGTTTTCCAGGTCTACATTTTCAGGAGTCTGGGATAAAAGCCCCTTCACAACCCAGAAAAGCTGTGCTGGACAGCATTGCACAGATGCAATGTGGTGGAGAAGTGAGCTCTTTTTGCCACCATCATTGCAACCAAGTAGGCATGATAAAGTGCTCTTCTTCATGCTCGGTCACATTCACTTGGAGTTTTCCTCCACCTGCGCGCCAACTGTCTGCCCAACCAGTTCATTGCTCCAAGCTCTTAAGTAAACCAAAAGCATTCTGGGCTCTGCAGGAGGATACAGGGTGCTTCAGTTTGATCATATCTGCAGCCCAGGTAATCTCCATACTCTACCGATTGACCAAGGTTGCTCATTGGAGGCTAAGAAACTTGCAAATTACAGAATACAAACATGGATGATACCTGATGGTTTTATAACCTTGGTCTTTTTAGTTATCTGGGATGAATTGTCTGAATAACCACAGTAAGGACTGAGTATGGTATGCCTGAAAAACCTATTATGAACCTAGAAATTGTATAAAGAAGAGTCAGTTCTAGAATATGTAACAGAGAATAAGAGAGGAGCATGAGACTGTTTTGGTGGTTATAACCTCATATTCTGTGTTCCACCACTTTTCAGCCTCTATACTAAAAGCCTATTTCTCCCCTTTGAAGTAAGGTGAAAGGGGGCCTTCATTATATTTGCTCAACTGTGTTTGCTTCTGTTTTGTTCTGCACCCACTGCTCATCACTACATCAGCAGCTTTCTGTATCAGAATACATAACATGTTGTCTCTGCTTAGCCGTTATCTGCTTCCATACCTTTTTTCAATTTGAGCCTTTGTCTAAATTCATTCTAAATACACTTCCTTTTAATACTGTCTTGATTGAATGCTGTATACCTGTAGTGCAGTGGTCTTCAAGATTTCCAGGATTCACTTGTAATCCCAATGTTAATAAGCCAGTGACCAATGTTATGGAAGGATCCTTTCTACCACTGAGTTACCTTGTCTCATTGCCCTGCTCCTCCTTTCCCTGTGTTTGTGCAAGTGACAGGAGGTGTGGTACCCTTGTTCAGTACAGACAAAATAAAGTAGCCAAACCAGCCTGTTCTGCAGAGGCTCAGTACCCAGCTGATGGTCCTTGACTATCAGACTGCAGTAGTGGAGGCATTCCTTCAGTTTATCCAGGATCCTAGAAGACTCTGACTGCAGTCTAATGCATTGCATATCTTCCACTGAAGTGGTCTGAGAGCATCTGGGAAGTAGAAGCTATATGCTTGAATGGATCTGAAGATTATAAACTGTCCAGTGCTGATTAGATGTCATAACCTGTCAAGACTTGGTATCTAATATTTCTCAGGATGATAGCTCATAGACACAAAATGGTAAGGAGATGTAGTAGGGGGGCAGAGGAAGAAGGTAACAAATCTTTGGGTATAGTTAGAGAAACTGCTCCTCCACTAATAATACCTTTTAAAAATCAGGCTTAAAAAGATGTTGTTGGATATGGAACTTCAGACTTCTTCCTGTCAGTTTTTCATCAGCTAGTTGTCCCAATAGCCCTTATGCAAGGTTGCACAAGTGGGGGTCCTGTTTCTAAATAATGGCCACTCCCTTTCCCAGGCTCTGTCATCCATGGAACAATTTCACAATTTGGATCGGGACATTGAAGGTTCTGCCAAAAGATGGAAGAAGTATGTGGAGTCTGAATCTCCTGAAAAGGAAAAGTTTCCACAGGAATGGAAGAACAAGTCAGCTTTGCAAAAGCTGTGTATTATGAGAGCCATACGACCCGACCGTATGACATATGCTGTCCGGTAAGTTTTGTTCACAAGATGGTTGAGGTAAGGGAATTTTAAAGGTCCAGGCCTCTTCCAGCGATTTCCAGTTCCATTAGGATTCTTTTCTATGAGTGGGTGGAGTCTGGCTAGGGAACTCAGGCCTCCAGAGGGAGAGAAACAGAGCAAGAACAATTGCCTTAAACGAAAAGTATTTATTAACTCTAAAACCATACACAAGTAAAACTCAGTAGCATATATTTAACATCAGTACCCAATAGCATATAGAAAAATCTCAATACCTAATATAATGTACACTTTAGAAAGAACAAGGAATTCCTGGACTGTGGGCCAAGATCTCACTCAAGCTTACGTGGGGTGTTTGTCAAATAGCCCTGAACAAAGCCCAAAGCCTTTTTAAAATTCTCTTATCAGCCAATAGGACTCAAGGGAGGAGTCAATTAAAATATATAAAACTTGCCAAATACCAACAAAGTTGCTAATATGAATTATTGCCCATACATATTTTATTAACTGCAATGTCAAAAAGACCTAGACAGATATGTTTAGGCTTTGGAGCCTCACACTTGGAAGGTTGTGGAAGGTGAATTCAGGCAAATACATCTACAGAGCAAGGCTTTCGTTTTTACACAAAAGAGCAAAGGCTTATGGGACTTCTGAACCAAGAAACCAAAGTCAGTTATAGCAAAACCTACATAGCATAGAAAATCAGAAAGGCCCAGTCTCATGTAACCCCAAATTCTTCAACAGCTGATCTGTGCCTTTTCCATTAAAAAAACCCCATGAAGTTGTGAACAGAATGTCCAAGAAATACAAAATGATTCATTGAACAAGGGCTTAAATGTCTTGATCTTACACAATGATATTCCTGGCTGAGAATGTAACATTCTTAATTCTACCGTGCAACCCCCTACTTCCCGACTCTCCACCTAATCAGAACAGACTTGATCAGTGATGTCAATTTAACCTCAGCCACTCTCAGGATTGATTGCCATATACAGGATACTGATGATGCAGACTCATTCATGGTGTCCCAGCCTGTCTCTTTTTCTCTGCCATAAATAACATTTCAATGTATCTGAAGAAGTGTGCACGCACATGAAAGCTTATACTTAGAATTAAACTTTGCTGGTATTACAGGTGCCACTGGACTCAAACTTTGTTCTGTCTCTACTTCTTGTTCAGGCATCAACTTTTTGATAACCATTCTTAAACCCCCAAGAGATGCCTGTGTTAATCTGCTGCAGCCAAAACAATAGCTTATGCCACAATACATTTGTTAGTCTTTGAAGTGCTGCAAGACCTCCGGATAAGCATGCTGCCGCAGAGCTTTATTTATAGTACATTTGTAATCGGCACAAATATGAATGGAGCCGTCTGACTTTACTGGGGTCACAGTGGGTGTTTCCCACTTGGCATGGGAGACTGGCTCTAGTACACCTTGGGCAATTAACTTGTCCAGTTCCTCCTCAATGTGGGGTCATATGAAGAATGGGACTGTCCGAGCCTTCAGTCTGATGGGTGATACTGTAGGGTCTAGATCAAAAGTCACTGGTGGACCCGTATATTTTCCCAGGGACCCCTCAAAAACAGCTGGGAACTCCTTGCAGATAAAGTCTAAGTCAGAGTGTAACACTTGGTTAACCCCTGTCACAGCTATGCCCAGGGCATTGAACCAGTCCAGCCCTAGCAAACTGGCCCTACACCCTTCTGCTACCAGGAGCTCCAACTTCCCCTGGAATCCCTTGAATCGTACCGCAAATGACGCCGTGCCTTCCACTGGTATGCGCCGGCCCTGGAAGTCAGAGAGATGTACTCTGCTGGGCCCCAGGCGACGTCGGCTCCTCTGTGGGAACAGCTTGTGCAGTGTCTCGGTGGAGATGACCGTCAATGCTGACCCGGAGTCAACCTCCATCTCGCACAGCTCCCCATTGAGCAGCATGGTGATTTTCCTTCTAGTCCGCGCCTCGGTGTTCAGGACGGTCGCAGCTTCTTGAACAAGTGGTTTCAGCTTTATTGAACCAGAACAAATCAACACGAAAAACCATAGGAGCCTGAGCTCCTTTTAAACATCCTGGGCTGGGAAAGCCACGCCCAGGTGAACTGTAAGAATCAATTATATTAACACGATAAAGGGAAATCACTGTTGTTCCTTCCAGTCACAATCCTTAGCTCTGATTGGCCTGTTGACAGATGCAGCCAATCAGAACGTGCACGCTAGGATACCAGGCTTTAATATACTGTATCTGAAGCATAGGCATGCAGTAGAAAACATAATACATAACAGCCCCCCTCTGGAAGCCTGGCTGCAACTGCAGCCCTTCCCCCTTCCTCCTTACGAGGAGGCAAAGACGGCCCTCCTGAAGCATGCTGTTGGTTGCTTCGGGTAGGGCCGAATAAGGCAGTGCAATCCTAAACAGAGTTACAGCCTTCTAAGTCTATTGACTTCAGTGGACATAAAAGGGTGTAACTCTGCTTACAATTGCACTGCCAGTGAATCACACTAAAATTAAACTTCAGGCAGGCTTATAAGAATATTACTGGCATTTAAAGGAAAGCAAAAGGTCTCTTGCTCTATCAGGACTTTGTTGTTCATCATTCTATAGGACAATCCTAAGTAAAGTTACACCTGTCTAAGCTCAGTGATTTCGAAAGGCTTAGACTGGAGCAATTCTTCATAGAATTGACTGTTGGCTGACATTTGATAATGTCCCACAGCCTGAAAGTTCTGATTGGCCAAAAAAATATTTCCCTGTAACATTACTCAAAAGAGCGAGAGTTGGTATGCCACAGCCTCCAGCCCTAATAATCCATTTTGGCCCTCTGGCAAGTTCTGTGGATATAGATGCTATTTTATCTCTGGTCTCCAGGATGGGAAACTGGAAACCAGAAATCAGTCAGACCCTAAGACTTCTAGTTGCTGTCTCCTAGTTTGAAATAACTCATCCTCAGTCTATATTATGTACTTTAGATCAGTTTCACCTAAATTATGCTAGAACTGCCTGTTTTTATAAATGTATTGCCCAGAATTGATCTGAATGTTTTCTGAAAATGAATGCCTTCAATAATATCTTCTGACAGAGATTTTGTGGAAGAGAAGCTGGGGAATAAATATGTGGTCGGAAGATCTCTGGATTTTGCAACATCATTTGAGGAGTCGGGACCTGCAACCCCAATGGTTTTTATCATCTCACCTGGAGTTGATCCCCTGAAGGATGTAGAAAAGCATGGTAAATAAATTGCATCAGCTAAAATTTTTTTAAAAATGACAGCCCAGCATGCTATGATATTATTTCATGAGAAGCTTTTGTTTACTTTAGCCTGCACATAGATTATAAGTGTGATGAGCAAGGACTTTCCCATGAAGCTGGCTGGATTTTCATTGCATCATAGATTTTTGAAAGGGCCCTACATGCGGGCTTCTGTTCAGAGGGGCATAGTTTCCTTCTGGGTTTGTAAATAACAAGAATGAGCTTACATTCCTCTCATTTAGCTTGTATCCGAACAGCTTGTAGCATGCTTCTTGCTATTTCACTCAGTGCTTCTGTAACTGAGGTGTGTGAGTCAAACTCCATGTGATGCTCATTTACAGATGCAGGAAGCTGAAGTCTGGCCCAAAAGGTTATGCAGGGGGCAGAGGGCACACCTCTTTTCCTATGAGCTAGTTTTCTTATCAGAATTTTCTGAGCTGCTTTTTGCTCCACAAAGGAAAAGAGGTGAGTATCAGTATGCAGGACCACTGACAAAGGCGGACTGGGGGACAACATTTGGGAGGCCCAAGTCCGCTGGAGGGCCCTTGCATCCAGCTGAACATCTTTCCATTTATTTTTAATGGGACCCAGGGAAGTCTGAGCACAGTAAAAGGCACTCTGTTATCAGCTAGGCTTCCCTTTCTCCAAGACTGAAGCAAACTTGCCTCTGATCATGCTAAACCCATCAACTAGGATTACTAGATGTCTTCTTTTGGGCTCTTTTTAAAAAATTGATGAAAATGTCCTTTTGGGGGTTGGAAGGTTAGGAATATTCCTAGTAAGTAGCAATTATCACAGCATAAATAGTAGTGTTATTTAAAATGAGGTTTGTCATAGTCAGGGGTCATTTCCTAGAAAAAGAGGTGCAGGAGCTCATTTGCGTAATTCATTTGCATATGCCACACCCCATCTGGGGAAGGGAAAGAAAGGCATTTAACCCCCCCCCTTCCCCTGAGTTTCTCGACAAAAGCGGAGAGGCTCAGGGGAAAGGGGGAGCATGTCTGTGGTGGGCGGGCTGGAGAAGGGGGGGCAGGGAGGCAGACATGCCTGCATTCCCTGCCCGATTTTCTCCAGGTGCCCTGCAGCTGCTGGGTACCTAGAGAAGACCAGGCAGGGAACCCAGGCATGTGTAGGCATTTCTTTCCCTTCCCCCGAGTTTCTCCGCAAAATGTCTGCCCACCTCCCCTTCCCTTCTCCAGCGGGAGAAGGTCATAGTGATCACTTATTTGAAGTAGTCAGTCAGGAAATATGTCCTCTTTTTTGCTTTTTAAAATATGGTAGCCCTACATCAACTAATCCAGCAATGGGGCAAGACAAACAACCCTGGCTGATGGCTGCTACACTGTTGGCCTGCAGCCTGCTAACCAAGGTCATTTTCTATAATGGTCTAGCCTTTCTCTCTTCCTTTCCTTGCACTCAGCTCAGCCAGATCTTGTGAAGCAGTAGTTAGAGTGTTGTCGCAAGATAAAACAATCTTTCCCTCTCTTTTCCTTAATTTCTCTCCCTCTTTTCCACACTTTTTTCATTCATTTCTGTCTCCCTCCACCTAATACTTCTGCCCTCCTCCACCCTTTACATGCATGGTAATGGAACATTAATCTGTTTTAGTGGTTATACATGTGGAAAAGAAGTTACAGTTCCCTGTTCAGGCACTGGATTGTTAAATCCTTATTGTGATGATGGAAGATCTAATAGCTCTTTGTAAAGGCTACTTTACTGTATTTATTTATTTATAAAATAGGCTTTTAGACTGCCCTCCCCTGCAAAACAGGGTTCAGGGCAGTGTAGAACAAAAAAAGCACATTAACAAATCAATCAACAATTAAAACAATAAAATAAGTACAGCAATTAACATTGACTAGATGGTGCTAAAACTCCAAATTGCACCACTGGCCCACAGACGAGAAACAGAGCACCAGGCAAGATGGAAACTGTCGCTTCACTCAACCAAAGCCTGGTGGAACATCACTGCCTTACAGGCCCTGCAGAACTGCATTAAGTCCTGCGGGGCAGAGATGTTATTCAGCAGAGAACTCCCCCCAGAGTCCCCAACCTTGGAGAAATGAGGTGAGCCACCCCACGAACTCCTATGTTAGTGAGGCAGTGAGTCAGGAGGTCATGATCGACCATGTCTAATCCTGCTGTAAGGACAAGCAATAGCAGCAGCACCAACCCGCCTTGGTCCAGCTGCCTGTGGAGATAATCTGTGAGGGCAACCAGTGCCATCTGAGTCCCATGGCCAGGGCAGAAGCTGGACTGGAATGGATCCAGCGCTAATATGTCCTCCAGGAAACTCTGGAGCTGTTCTGCCACTCCTCTCTCAATTACTCTTCCCAGAATCAAAAGATTTGAGACTAGGCAGTAATTAGAATTAGGAGCAGTAATTAGGCTGGATGACCATCTTTCGGTTATGTTGTAGGGCTATCTTTCGGCTATGCTCCTGCAGAGTGCAGGGGGTTGGACTAGATGACCTGTAAGGTCCCTTCTATCTATAACATTCTATGATAGAAGGATCTATAGGCTCCAAAGATTGTTTCTTTAAGAGCAGTACTACAACAGCCTCCTTTAAATCCTCAGGGATTAAATGATATGACAAATGATGTAATTTTAAAAGTATCATTAAAGATTTGATTTATAAGAAACTAGGAAAAAGGCCTGTTGTGGAAATAAATACAATGGCCTCTAGAAAGAGGCTCTGGGCGGGTGCCCCGGCCTTGGACACTCAGTGTCAATTTGCTGTGGCGACCTCAGCAGGGTATAATGACACTGAGTCCACCATTTTCTCCAGAGGAACTTATCTCTGCTACCTAAAGAACAATTGTAATTTTGAGTGATCTCCAGCCCTCACCTGGAGACTGATAACGATGGTTCCCCAGAAGGGAATAGTTGGTTTGGAGCCTATGGCTTTGTACCTGTCTGAGGTCCCACGCCTCCTTGAAACCTCACCCTCTCCAAGCTCCATCCCTCACATCTTCAGGAATTTCCCACCTGGAGTTGGCAACCCTATCTTCTTCCCAACCAATCATCAACCTAACTTTATTTTCCCCTCACTCTTCAGCTTTCCACCCCCCACACACCTGCAGCCTCTCCCGTGCTCTGAAGCCCTGACCGCGACATCCCTTTGGCTGTCATACGGGGGCCACCTCAGCAGCAGGGGAACTGATCTCTGCCATCTGGAAAGCAGTTGTAATTCTGAGTGATCTCCAGCCCTCACCTGGAGATTGGACACATTTTACCTCAGAAGAGCAAAACTGTTTAGAATGTTAGAGGCAAAAGCCAATCAAGTTGCATATGCAAACGACCTTTGTGTTCCGAGGCAGAGGCCAATGAGGCTGCATATGCAAATAACCTCTGTGTTCTGACTGGCTATGGGGGGGAGAGGATTAGCAAAATGTTTAGAATGTTGGAGTCAGGACTCAGGCAAAGCAGCCAGTGGATAGGGAGACCCTATGAATGACAGATCAGAGAGCAAACTGATTTTGGAGCATGTGGAATGTTCTAGAGAAGTGCCACCACCATTCGGCTTTTATTTATAAGGGAGATAACATACCCAGTCTTTCTCCCCTGTGGGTACCCAAAGCTCCATTGTTCTCCTGTCCTCCATTTTATTCTCACAACAACCTTGTGAGGCAGGCCTGGTTGACAGTGTGTCACCCAGCAACCTTCCATGGCTGGTTGGGGATATGAGTATTAGAGACACATGACCAGTGTTCCCTCTAAGCTGAGTTAGTGTGAGACAGCTCACAGTTCTTTAGCCTCCGGCTCACACATTTTTGTCTTTGCTCAGGAAAGACGGCACCAGAGCAAACTAATTGATGCAGTAGCCAAATCACCTGTTCCTAACTTTAATGCCAGTAGCTCACAAGGTAGCATTTTTGCTCACAGGACTCCACAGCTTAGAGGGAACATTGCACATGACAGGTTGCTTAAAAACTTATAGAATCATAGAGTTGGAAAGGATCTCCAAGAGCCATCTAGTCCAACCCCCTGCACAATGCAGGAAATTCACAAATACCTCCCTCCACCCCCAGTGACCCCTGTTCCAAGCCCAGAAGATGATACAAAAAACTCTCCAAGATCCCTGGCCAAACTGGCCTGAAGAAAAATTGCTTCCTGACCCCAAAGTGGCGATCAGCATTTCCCTGGGCGTGTAAGAAAGGGCCACAAGAACTAAGCACTGATGTAACCCTTCCTGCCCTCCCTCTCATGAACTGCCTATGTCCACACAATCAGCATTGCTGTCAAATGGCCACCTAGCCTTTGTTTAAAAACCTCCAAAGAAGGAGAGCCCACCACCTCCTGGGGAAGCCTGTTCCACTGAGGAACTGCTCTGTTAGGAGGTTCTTCCTAATATTTAGGTGAAAACTCTTTTGATCTAATTTGAAGCCATTGGTTCTGGTCTGACCTTCTGGGGCAACAGAAAACAACTCCACATCATCTTCTATATGACAGCTGTCAAGTACTTGAAGATGGCTATCATATCACCTCTCAGTCGTCTCCTCTCCAGGCTAAACATACCCAGCTCCTTCAACCTTTCCTCATAGGACTTAGTTTCCAGACCTCTTACCATCTTTGTTGCCCTCTTCTGGACACGTTCCAGCTTTTCTATATCCTTCTTAAACTGTGGTGCCCAAAACTGAACAATATACTCTAGGTGAGGTCTAACCAGAGCAAAGTGATACCATTACTTCACATGATTTGGATACTATACAGCCCAAAATCACATTTGCCTTTTTATCTACTCTCTTATTACATGTTGTCTGTCCTGAAGATAATCTGGTTCAGGGAGTTCCTGTTACCTTCATTTTTGGCACTATAATTTCCATCATCATTCTGGGGTTCGTGGCCAGTTTTCCAACATGTAGCATTATTTTCTGAGTTATGCCTGCCACAGAGACCCTTCGCTTCAGTTGCAAATAGCACGAGGTCTCACTCAGGCTGGGATTTTCCAATGCCTTTCAATTTTGGCCATGGAACTC